TATGTAAGCTAGACAGACATTTCACCTGCTCATACTGTGCACACATGTACTGTATGCACTTAGTCCTAAAGAGCCCTTCTGGTGCCAGTAGATACACAGAAACATCCCAGCAGGCTGTGCTTTGCAAGCATACAAAAAAGTTTCACGCATGCGAAAATTATTTTTCATGCGTGTGCTTCACCTCCGCTGCTACAACTCCATCCTAGGGGAAACACTGCTGTGTGCGTTTTGTGCAATAGGTGGATGTGGTAGTCTACTGGTAGAGTAGAGAGAGAGCTAAGTAGCGTTGAAGTAGAGTAGAGCAGGGCAGAGAGATGGAAGCAAAATATATTAAACCCAGTGTTAATACAGCAGAACTGGAGAGAGGGGTGAAAAATAAATAGAGGTGGGCATGGCTCAAGTAGGGCGCAAAATTATAGACGGAGAACGATTGACAAATTTTTCACTTTAAGCCCTGACACTGTCATTTTTGTGTAGGAATTAAGCTACAATACATGACATATATTGTTTTAATTAATAAATACAGTGTGAATAAAGATTACATAACATAAAAATAACTGCAGTCTTTGTTATTTGATAGCCGCTTAAATTAACCAATTTTTATAGGGCAAGTAAAAACTGACTGCGGGCAAGTGAAAAAAAACCTTAGCGTTGAACCCTGCAGTCAAATCAGATTTGGCTGTTTAATATGAATATGCAACAACATAGTTTTTGCTAACACTGGATATTAAACAAAAGCCAGAGACTGTGTCGTATTAGGTATCTGTGAGCTGTAAATTCACCATTTACAAGCAGAAAAGAGAAGTTAATTTTATCTCGAAGACGTTATCTCCTCTGTGCCACTGCATCCTGTCCGCAGAGTAGCGTGAAAGTCAAAAGCGCTCACTCCGTAGCAAAATCTTGGAACTAAAATTTTCTCAGAAGTAAACTGCACAGCATACTGACTAGTAAAAAAAGAAAAAGATTGACTTGACTTGAAGCAATCTCAGCCAACTAAGGGGTCTCCAACTGACAATTCGAATCTCCGGCTTTCAAGGGTCATGGCTAATAACTACTCACATGAAACACTTACGTAAGTGTACATCAGTGCCCATTATTATACATCAGGTTAAACTGTTTACATTTCATAGACATATGGAGCCTTTGCTCAGGGGTTGCAGGTAGATGTTGCTTTGCCTTAGAGGCCACATCCCAAAAGGTCATATGTCAAGCAAAACACCAAAAGTTTGCCAGTTTCCATTTCCAAATGTGAAAATGTGTCTTTTTTTCTGTTTTATATTTATGTAAAATGAATATCTTTGGGTTTGGGTCTTTGGGTCAGTAGGGGTGGGAATAAACAAAGGCCCAATCATGATACAATATTATCACAATGCAAAATAAGTACTGACTTTGAAGATGTACCCCTGGCTCTGCAGACTTGTGATGCATTTTCACTATTTTTTGACATTTGTCATCATTAACAAGGAAAGCATGAACATGAACGCACATAACATGACCAAAATGGCACCAATGGTTTTGATACGGATTCAAATATAACAAAATTCCTGCAGCAGTTTAAAGTTGAGTAAGATATTAAGAGAAGACAGAGCCTCCTTGCAGGCCTGACAGTTCACAGTACTCCCCATGTGTTTGTTTCCTGCCTTTGCTGAAGAAACTTTAGTCAAAACTCTATTGAAATCTTTTGACAGGCACCTCCTAGATGTGCTTGTGCAGTGACAAGTAGTGGCATAATAAAACACAAGCCAGAAAGATAAACAGCTCAGCTTGTAGGCACTGGAGAGGATCCACTCATGGGCAAACTGCCATGAAAAATGCATTGTAAAAAATGCTGGAGGGCTCCTGGAAAACCAAACCAGTTTTCCACCCTGATGCACCCGGCGGAGGACTCCATATAAACATGAAGGTGTATTTCACTTCTCAGAGCAGCGGCCCAGAAATAAACCTGCTATTGTCACATTCAGCCTGTTCAAACACGCTTAACACGGCATGCTCAGTGTGCCAGGGGAGAGAGACAAAGAGATCAAACACACACCTGCAAAATGCCACCGTGCTCACAGATATCTCTCATATTCACACTGACAGACACAGAGTGACGGCTCACTCCAGGTGACACTTCTTCCAGGATGCTGTCAGCTTCCTGTGTAGAGCTGTGTGTGTGAATGTGTGTGTTCGCTCTACTTTCATCTTCTGACTACGTGAAGCACTTTCAGTTGTAATTGTGAGTGTCAAAGTCTGGACATGTTTTTATTGCAAAGCAGTTTAGAGTTCAGATTCTCAAGATTAGTTTTGGGTTCAGCTGGGGACAGTTAAAGGACCATTTCAACATTTTGTGTGATTTGAGGTTTCACACTTTCTGTTTATCTTTAATGCTAATTATGACTGGGTGATTTAACTCAAGCAGTTTTTTGGATAATCAGTTCCTCTTTTAGGTATTTCTTCATGCATTTTCTCTTCAAGGTTTGAGTGTTTACATGATAGTAAACTGGATATATTTGGACCCAGACATGGCATTTGAAAGCATTTTCACTAGTTCAAATACCTACAAACTAATTGTTTCAGCAGAAAATTAACAGCAGGTTAATCAGTAATGAAAATATTAGTCCGTTGCCACACTGACTGCAAACCTTTTTGCATGCATGCATGGGCAGATTATGAGACAATGGGCTCCTGGGCACACATAGGGCCAAGACACACAGACTTTGTGGTGATTATGTGATTCTTTATAGTCTTTTTTTGTCTCTTCAAGGTAATATTGTGTCTTTTTTATTGTTTTGTGTCACTTTGTAGTTGTTTTGCCCCCTTTAGTGGTCATTTAGAATGTTTTCCTGGATGGTACATGTTCATTTGAGTGACATTTTCTCGGGGGCAATGACACTTTGGGTCCTTTGGCCTGTGTCTGGTAGGCCCATTCAATAATCCATCCATGCATGCATGTGCCAAAATGACTCTCTCAGACCCATTCATCCCCATTTCATTCCAAAGAGCAGAAAACAAGAGGAGATTTAGTTGTTAAAATACAGGGCTGCATGATATGCAAAAAAAGTCACACTATAATTGTTCTGACAGATACTGCGATTGCGAAATGAATCACAATTTAATTAGGGATAGTAAATTTTGCACATCATCTTCACTGAAGCACCACAATGCTTTATTTATAATGGCATGTTGTGACACATTTTACCTTTATCAAAAAATTGCAGCTCCCGTGATTTGGATATTGCACTTGCCAAATTGCAAGCTCGAAAACATTGCGAATAATTGTGCCTCCCTAGTAAAAATAATTAATCTTTGTGAATGGAAAGCCATCAGTTCTGTTTTAGAAAGTTTTATCACAATACTATAAAATTTAGCAAAAAATTGTGGTTAATGTTTAACATAACTATTTAAATAATCCAATAATGTTTTTAGTTTTTTTTTTCTTTAATTAGAAAAGCCAAACATTTGCAGGTTTCATGCTTCATAAATGGTTATAAACTGAAGAGCTTTTGATTTTTGGACTGTTGATTGGATGAAACCTACCATTTAAAGACCATAACTTGGGTTCAAGGAAATTACACTGGGTATTTTTCGCTATTTTCTGACATTTTATTGACAAAATAAGCAATCAAGAAAATAATGAGCAGATTAATCAATAATGAAAATAACTGTTAGTTGCACCAAGAGTGCAAATTCAAGTTTACTAAAAGACTTTCCCTCCAAAATAAAACCTTCAATCAGCGGCTAGCAATCCCCGTAGGTACATCAGTTACATTCTGCCAATTGGATCCCATTCAGCCTTAAACACAAGACAAGATGTTTCCACAGCTCATGCACAGTGTGAAATGAAACAGAAACTAATGCTATAGATTTTGTCAAATTATAGCGTCTTTGCTGAAAGTTTTATTCATTTTGGACGAAGAAAAGTTTCATAATGAGATATAAGCACTGGAAAATAATCTAAAAAAAAGTCAAAGAGTGCTGGCCATGAGTAGGAAATTAGAGTCTCAACACCGAGTCCCCACGTACAACTGCAGGTCACTGGGTCAAACCCTGGCCACTAATCCTGTTTCCATCAGTAGGGCCTCTAACCGGCTCTTCCAGGTGTGTGTGTGTGGTGCATGACTTTGTGTATGAGTGTGTGTGCATGCTCTTGCCATCTGGCCCAAAAGTCTGCTTCCTACCATCTTTCCAAACAGGAAGCCAAAACAAATCCTTGATGACACGGGTCAGTAGTTTAATTGTCTCTGTGGGATTTCTGTGCAGCCAGCAACCAAAAACTGCCCCCTTTCATCTCGACAGCCCCGGAGCCTGAAACACTCTCAAATCGATTTATCACTCCTGTAACCTGCCTGAGTGTGTGTGTGTGTGTGTGTGTGTGTGTGTGTGTGTGTGTGCATCATGTACTGTACCTGCATGAAACTTTGACTTGATTTACTACAGTATTTAGAGCATGACATATAGAGGAGATTTTGCCAGTGGGCTGCAAGGTATTGAATACCATTTGTTTTCTCTCTGTTTTGCTTTCTTTCTCACACACACACACACACACACACCACTGGATCAGTATATGAAACCCCCTATGGCTTGGCCTTACAGCCATTGAGCAAGCATCAATACAGCAAGATATCATCTAGGCATCAGGACCCTATGCATGTGTGTGTGTCAAAGAGTAAAACCTCACACACACCTGTTCCTGTCATGACAACCACACCACTGTCTTCCCAAGAACATTTTAATTTGAAAGGCTCAGCCTGCCCAGATGTGTAAAACTCTCTCACTCCGAGTACACGTCACTCATTAACTGTAACACCCATGGGTCTCCCCTGTGAGCCTCGGGAGACCCCACCCAGAGACCCCTGCGTGCTGCAGCGCCTTTAAAAAAAAAACCTGCATACCTGCACTGTGAACAAGATGCTGGCAGCTCAGAGCTCCCGCCGTACAAACACCGAGGTGTGCACACACTGACAGCCCGGGTGAGGAGCGACACGGCTCGGTGTGATACACAGTGTTTCCCCGCTTACCTTCCAACTGAGTCCGGTTCCTGCAGCACAGTACAGCACAGCACCGACGGCTCCACCGGTGAGATGCTAAACGCCGGTCACTTCATAAGTTATCCCTGCCACACATCACGCGGGCACGAGGAAGTGTAGTTTCACTATGAAGCGCGAGCTCTCCAGATGTTAACGAGGGCGGTGCTCGTGTCCCATAAAGATGTAAAACATGACACGAATGAAACCGCTGTTCAGTGTGAAGCACACCGGCTCCTCTACAGCTATCCGCCCGCCGCCGCTCTGAATTTCGGTGTGAATGAGGTTTCCCGGTCCGCCCACGCTGCCCCTGCCGCTGGATGACAGGACACCGACCGACCGACTGACTGCTGCTGCTCCACCGGCCGGCCTCACGGCTCCGCCTACAGGTGATACTGAGTAACTGCAGATAGCTGTTAAGGCAAGTGCACCCTGGTAGAAATCTGCAGGCTTGTTCTAGGTACAAGGTTTTAAATAGGCTGATCACAATGTGATTTTAATGTCCTGCATTTCTACATGCATTCAGGGACTAACCAAAACAAAATCAAGTCATTAGGCTAAATTCTTCCACAACAGTAATAATGCAGATCCTTTGGGTCTGTTTTTTATGGTGGTGAATCTGAACTCACATCAGAATCTGGTGGCTTCTTATAGCGTCATATTATTATACATAGTAACGTATTAAGCACAATTTTTGTGGTAAATATGTTACTTTATATTTGGGACTGATTACTCAGGGCCTCAACTGGAGGGGGGCCTCGAAAAGCCTAGGAGGAAAAGTTTGGTTTTGCCTGTAATTATATACATTGAAGTAACTGGCACCATAACTAAATTAGAATTAGCCGAATATATCTGTTGAAAGACTGAACTTTGTATAAAAAATACGGGAGGCTCTTTGAGACCCCTCTCACCTCTTAAAGCTGCAAAATGGTTTAGTCCGACCCTCCACTAGAATTCCTCTCTAAATGCAGCTAGAACTGACTAAAGACCCTTTTACACTGCCTGTTCAAAGCGGGAATATTGCTCCATATGCCGCCTCACTTTGCTGTATATAAGGTACGACTGCGAAAAGGGGGGGCAGAGTGGTCTCGCCTCTGAGCCGGGAATGGAGGTACCGAAACAACTTTTCTTCTCTGCAGGACGGGATGATGGGCAGCACGGGTGTGACGTTTTGATGACGTGCAACCCACTGCAGGAGATATAAAAGTAGCTGATAGCAGTTAGCGGCTAGCTCAAAGAAGAAGAGCAGCGGGCTGAAAATGTCTGCAAATTGGGAAAACAATGCAGTCGAGGAGCTCCTCACTCTCCGAGCAGACATTAAGATCAGCCACCATGTAACTGCCAAGGCTCCAGTGGCGCAATCGGTCAGCGCGCGGTACTTATAAGACAGTAACCTGCAGAGTCATGCCGAGGTTGTGAGTTCGAGCCTCACCTGGAGCATTTTAACCATGAAATACTTGTTGCTCTTCATTGGATGGTCCATCTCACCCCTTGGTATTACACAACAGCATACCTTGCATGAAGGCCACTTGGAGAGCAGAGGGAAATTAGGCGGGGCATTTAAATGACAAACACCTCTCCTTGCACACTCACAGCCCAAACTATCATGATTGACCGCTAACTGCAGGCAGCGGTGGCTCGGGTGGTAGAGCAGGTCACTTACCACTCAGATGATCAGTGGTTCAATCCCCAGCTCCTCCCTTCCCAATGTCAAAGTATCCTTGAGCCTTGATCAACATACCAAAGGAGATTCTGAACCTGATGGAATGATGGGCAGCACAGGTGTGATGTTTTGATGACGTGCTATGTGTGTGACCTGCTGCAGGAGATATAGAAGTAGCTGATAACAGTTAGCAGCTAACTAAAAGAAGACCAGCAGCTTAAAGTGTCTGCAAATTGGGAAAACACTGTGGTCGGGGAGCTCCTTATCCTCCGAGCAAATGACAAGATTAGTCGCCACATAACAGGGTAGGCTCCAGTGGCGCAATCGGTCAGCGCGCGGTACTTATAAGACAGTAACCTGCAGAGTGATGCCGAGGTTGTGAGTTCAAGCCTCACCTGGAGCATTTTAACCAGGAAATACTTGCTGCTCTTCATTAGTTGGTCCATCTCTCCCCTTGGTATTACATAATGGCATACATTGCATGGAGACCACGACACACTTCTTGTACACTAACTGCCCAAACTATCATGATTGACCACCAGTGTTGGGTAAGGGTTACTTTAAAAGTAATCAAAGTATATTACTGCGTTACTTTTTAAAAAAGTAACCAGTTACTTTACTGCGTTACTCCCTGAGTAAAGTAACTCACTTACTTTAAAAGTACTTCCAACGTTACTCCCTGAGAAAAGTAACTCAAGCACTTTTAAAGTACTTTTGAGTATTCTACATTTCCTATTGGGCAATGGACCACAGGGCGCTAAGCCTACATTTTTTTGTCTCCAAAATTAAAGTTATGGACCACTTGCCCTTCACTGAGATCCAATTCTCCCATCACAGCCGTCACTTTGACCAGTAGAAACACAGAACGATCTGCTGCCGTAGACAACTGTATGACAACAACACCCCAGCATTTTTAATATTTCCTCTAGGGATGTTACCACACAGAGTAAA